TTTATTTAATTTTAAATGTTTCGTACTAAATTTTTTTTTGGAAAGCATTAATATTTTGACTATTGAGATAACCCTGTAATAACCTAATTTCTCAATATATTAAAATTAAATCCAATTTTCAATCCCTCAAACTGTAAAAATATATTAAACGAGTAATACTGTAACTCATAAATCATACTACTCACTATTAAAGTTTCCATATTTTAAATAGTATTCGTAGCAAGAAATATGACTTTTAATAATCGCGTTTTTCCATGATTGGAAAAATATGATACTTGCGTGAGTGTTAGATTTATATCCTCCATTTATGATTTTAAAATGACACCAATAACCCTAAGATACCCTTTTCTACCACATCGCCAGATGGTTTCAGTGACTAAAATCACGTAGCATATAAGAAAACATCCATTTACGCTCTCTATGAATTTTTATCGTCCTATATTTGGCAAACATCTTTTCAATTGTTCAATTTATATAATTTGTACACTCTAAAAGAATATTAAAATCTTTAGATGCAAATGTTGATTGAGTACAAAAAAATAATACCAAAAATGTAATTATTTTTATTTCTTATGTCATCAAAGCTATATACAAACATATTGCAAGATCATAAATTTTATAAATCTTTCTCTATAATTAAAAAGAAAATAAAAACAATGACTAATTTTTACTAATATATTAATAAACAAAGTTTATAAAAAGAGTAGTTTTAGTAATCTATACTATTGATTCTGTGCAAAATATTTTTTGATGGTATTGATTTTTAATGAATAGCAATTTAACGAGTAGTTAAAAATTAATTTCCTAAAAAAAAAACTAAAAAGTAACCTTTGTAAAACATTTCATAAATATTGCACAAGGATTACTTTTTATATTTTAGAGAATTTTAAGAGTTTGATGGAAAAAAAACAGTAAGATTAGGCCATGACTATTAATTAATATAAATTTTCGAACTTCTTTACCACTATAAAAAATTTATTGTGACAACATTAGTTTTGTCGTCACAGTTTTACAAAAAATATATATCCCGATATTTTTATTTTTATGAACATTTGCTTTCGATATAAAAAAATATAGTCAAGTATTATTGACTGATCAAATATATAAATTTACACTATACGAATTACAATAAAATGTATTATACTCATATTTATATATTTTTATTTTAAATATTAAATAATTTGAAAAATTATTTTAGAAGTATTATACACTACTTTTTAATGAGAGTGTAAATAGGTAGAAATGAAAAAATAAAAACTATTTACTAAAAAATAAAGCCAGTAAACTACCTGTACACTGTATGCTGTATACCACGATTTTTTTATAATAATATTTGCTAAAATACCCTTAAAATTGTTTAGATTAGTATAGAAGAAATGGAAAATAAGAAATTTTTCTAAACTTTAAATAAATTAAATTATTTAAAATAGTTACAAGCGTGAAAATCAAAGCATGGAAAGTAACAATATTTCTTTCATAAATTAATTTTTGTCTTATTAAGTTTTTAAATTATTTCTTATTTTAAATAATTATTTTCATAGAAAGAATTTTTCGATTAAAATCTTTAATATAAATATAACCATAAAAAATGTAACAAAAATGGTTAGTGGAGTATTGTTATTTATATTTTATAAAGTAAGACCTCTTTTTGTTTTGTATAATAATTATTACGTACCACTATAAAGAAAATTATTGAAATCATTTTTCACTTGCTAATCGAGAAAGAGCAGTGACAATAGATGTCACGGATTCGTTTTTATACAGAAAAAATCAAGACTACAATAAATAACTTTTACCGGCAGCCCTCTAACCCATCTTTGCTCCGCCCCTGTCTGTTTTAGTGAACATTTGATACGACGTCCTAAGACTTATCTTAAGCACCTGAACGTGTTTCAAATTTTTCATAGTAATAAGGCTAATTAGAACAATATATTAGAATTTCATACGTTTAAATCTCACCAGTCTAGAAGTGTGACAAAAATACTCGTTGAACAATTAGTTTCCTATAAATTTAAGATGACTACATTGTACAAGTATTTTCAAAAAAAAAAAGTGACTTTATTTATTACATTGTGTTATAGAAAATTATATTTTTTCAAGCGAATTGTTTTACATAACTCAAGATATTTAAATATGAGATTTAATAATTATAAATTATATATATATATATATATATCATTTATATTATCATATAAATATTTTTCAGTGTACAATATTTTAACGAAATTATTCTTTTAGTTTATTTTTCAAAAAATGCATTCCTGTCGATATAAGAGAGATTAAACTTTTTTTCTTAAACAAACTTCACTTACTTTTGGTAGCTAAAAAAACATTTTATTTAAAATTAAAACGATATCAAAAATATTATTAATTTAAAACTAAAAAATATTAAATTCAAAAAGCCACAAAAAAATTACCAAGAAATCCTGTATACGTATTTCAGAAACAATGTTACCATTGTCAACACTAAACACATAGTGATACCCCGACCGGGAAAATACCCCCTTATATACCTAGTGACCTTATTACCTAAAGACCTTATCACCTAGGGATCTTATTACCTAATGACATATCACTAAGTAATATTATCACATTTTGCATGTTTTCAAAAATTTAATAATGAATTTCAGTAGCCCAAGATCACAATTAATTAAATTGTTCTTACTTTTAAACATTTCTATTTCCTCCCTTATATTATGATTTTTGTAATTATATGCGTTTTTAATTAGTTTTATGGTTTTAATCGAATATATGTCAATAAATGTTCAGCTACAGGAGATTTGCCAACTTCTTGATTTTTAATGTTTCTTAAGTGCTCTTTAAATTAGACATCTATGTTTCATTTTTTTTGTCCTACATTTATTACAACATTCACAATGTATTTTATAAATACCAATTTTTTTTTTAAATTCTTAATTTTTGTTCTAATTAGTTAGATTTAGTTATAACAACTATTTAGTTATAACAACTATGAAAAATTTATAACAAATGTCGAGTGCTTAAGATAAGTCTTAAGACGTCGTATCAAATGTTCACTGAAAGAGACAGGGCCAGAGCAAATATAGATTAGAGGTCTGCCGGAAAAAGTTATTTATTATAGGCTTGATTTTCTGTATAAAAACATCTATTGTCACTTCACTTTTTTGATTAGTAATATTAACCACAAGTAATCAATTTTTATTATAAAGAAAAACAGTTTTTACTGGTTATAATGAGGAATTTTGAATTTAAAAATTAATCTTCATCTATGATGTTTACGGTATTTTTATTAAAAACTCATAATTGAACACCGTGAGCTGTTTAGAAGTTCTAGCAGAATTAAACTTCACTTTTCATAAGTATTATGTAATTGAGTAGTACATACAATAACAAAAAAAAATTACAATTTCCCTAAATGAAATAATTTTTTTTTATAAAAGTAAACAATAGGTATACAGGGTGATTTTTTTATTATTAATTACTTAATATCTTTAAATAATAGTTATATTTAAGAAATTATTAATAGTATCTTTTATTGCTATAATTTAAAGAAAAATATAATCCTATTCTCTCTTTCACCCATTTAAAATAGTATCAAATTTTAAAGTTTTTTAAATAAAAAAATAACAGATCTATAACAAATTTCGAACTAATGTTTTGAAAGATATTACAACCAGAGAAAAACCTCGATCTATATAATAAATTCATTGTTTAATTTGATAAATATATCATTACTATTAAACCTATGATATATTTATCAATATGATATTTTTTTTCTTGTCTTGAACAATAATTATTTATAAGAATAGTTATTTTGTTCGTATTAATAAAACATTATCATAAACCCTTGATAAAATTTCTCTATCAAAATTGATTGAGGTTTTTCTTTGGGTATAGCATTTTTATAATGGGGATGAGTAAGGCACGACTGTTTATTTTTATCTATTAACATATATTAACCCATAGTCTAAAACCTAATAAAACTATTTCAAAAGTTATTTAATAGTATTCGCTGTTTTATTAGTTTTTAAAATTTTCTTATTTTTAAGTTAATCAAACATATATTTTTGCGTGAAGTATAGTTAATGAATCAAATTGTAACTTTATCGATTTATTAATTATTATTTATTATTTTAATTCATACCTTATACCTTATAAGGGTGTCAACTATTATTTTTAACGACGACATATATATTGAACTAGCTTACAAAATAAAAAATAATTTTTTAAATGACTAGCTGATAACAACTTTTGAAATAATACTTCGGAAGTTATTAACACTTTTATATAAAGTGGAAGAAAAGCGGGTTTCTTAATAAAGAGATATTTAACTGAAAATATTATTTTTCGTTAGTTATAATTATTATAATAAATATAATTATAATTTTTTGATGATACATATTATACGTTAATTTGTTGTTAAATGAACAAATGAAAATTAAGTTATCATAAAATCTAAATATCTCCATTTAACTAAAATATTCAACATAAAATAACTTAACTTTAACTTAATAACTCATTAACGTTCAGCCTTGAAAAAATTTTGTTCTAAGCTTTATATTTTATGACTTTAAACATCGCAAATCTAGTTAAAAAATCATGATAGCATATATAATACCAAAAGTTCAAATTACATCAAGACTGTTAGTTTTATCGATTTAGTGATCAATAAAATGATTATTTTTAATAATATAGAAAAAAGTTCTAAAAAATCATATTATTTAAAAATTATTACTTAATTTATTTTAAGATACAATAAAAAATAAAACCACGCTTCGTCACTACTTACAAAAGTGCAATAATTTTATATTTTTAAAATACACTTTAGAATATTGTTCATACAATTTACTTACACTTTGTATCATTATACTTGTATTTTATCTATACCTTTATTAATAACACCACGACCAGTAAAACCAATTTCTATTTAATTACTAAAATGGATTGAAAGCATTTGTCTGCATGTACGAATAAAATAAAGTTGAAATTTTTAGAATAAAATAAAAACATATTCTACAAAATGTTTTTTGAATGGTTTTATTGAATATCAAAATTTAATCATATAGTAATACATTACAAAAATTAATTTTGTAAAATTGTTATTAAACATTTACATTTTGATTTTTGTTTCAATAAACAAAATATTTGAAGAAAAAAGACAAACGTTTGATTATATTACAATTAAAATATTGACTAGTAGTGAGAGCCATGGTGAACATATTTATGAGGAGGAGGAGGATGATGATGATGATGGTATTCAGGTTTATGGTGGTGATGAGGAGGAGGTGGAGGAGGAGGAGGATGATGATGATGGTGTTCGGGTTCATGGTGGTGATGAGGAGGAGGAGGTGGATAATGTTCGTGGTGTGGTTTGTGATGTTCATATTTATGTGGTTCATAATGCTCATACTTATGAGATGGTTCGTAATGATGGTGACCGAATTTTTGCTCTTCTTCTCCACATAATACTTGGGTGACTACCGTAGCCACGACACAAAGTACAAAGAACTGCATAAAAATTTAAAAATAAATATTTCAATAAAATTTTATTTTATAATAGCTGAATTTAACTTTTGATGATTATAAATAATGCAAATTACTCCGTCCACAATAAATTAGTATAGATTATAAAATAAACAAAAAAATAGTAATATTAATAACCATTTATTAAAACACTATTAAATGATAGAAAAATTAAAAAATAATTGTGTTAATAATTTTACCCTCAAAATAAAATTTAAACAAATATTTCCCTACGTGTGAATTAATTTAATTACCAACGCAAATTGCTTTAGGATTTAAATTTTATTTATAATTAAACTGAACTGAAAAAATATATTTCTAAAAACAAAATTATTATGACATTTTATTTATTATAAAATTATATGATATACAAATATGTTATATTTTTGTGAGAAATTAATTGAAAAACTAGATAGTTATAATTTTATACCGATTAATATTAAATAGAAACGTTATTTAAATTGTTTAACAATTTCTTAAGTACACTTTTTTTCATTCTCATTATTTCATACTACTTCAAATTTGCAATAAACATAATATGTAATTAAGTATTATATTCAACTTAAAACAACAAAACTTTTACCATTAAACTATATTATGTTAGCCCGATTAAATTTAGCAAATTATCTTTGATATTTAAAATTATTTTCAATATTTTTAACAATTTTTTAATTTGTAAATTATTCTTATAGTTAAACTATTAACTAAAATAAACGATTTTACTATATAATAATAAAAATATTTACTTACCGATATGTATTTTGTCATGATTAACTGTTTAATAATAAAAGATTCAATCGATACTGTTTACAGCCAGTCAAGTACTAATTCACTAACAGTTCGCAGTAGTTTATATAGTCGATGGCTATCATCAATCTTTCTCTGGTATTTCGTATTGCGTATAACTATATACATCAGATTTATATATTTATGTTTGTTTCTTAACGCTCAATATAGTAAGTTTTGCCTTGAACCGCAAAAAACCCATCTAAAGTTTAAGGCCAAGGATTTAAAAAATCAAACCTGAATTCTTTTTGTTTTATCAATTAGCAGAAGAAACCGGTCTACGACGGTTTATTTTACCGCTACGTAAGTACATGAAATATCACATTTACGTACAGGGAACCAATCACTTGGTATTTCCAATACATTTATTATCTCAATAATATGAATGTATACGATTGTTTTTTTTATCTTAGCTATTTATTTAACTCTTTATCTAATATATTTTTACCATATTTGACATTTAAATTACCAACAGAACCTATTAATAAAAGAAAAATGTATTAGATAACAAAAATTATAAAAAAGAATAAAGTCATTTACTTTTATGAATTTGATGATTTGAAACAATGAACCTTTAAAATACACGATGAACTAAAATACATACATTTCTATAAAAACTATTCTAATAATATTAGAATCAAAAATTTATCATTAAATTTGAGGTTTAAGAGTAGGTCTGTTAGTAGATTTGTCTTAATCCTTGCAATATTCTTATTAATAATTATTTTCGCAAAAATAGTCTGTTTTGTGTTAGGTCCCACATATTGTAAACTGAGCACTAGACCCGTTCAATATTTAAAAATCTATCATGCTCATACAAATCTTGATTTATGTATTTTTTCTTTTTTGGATCAAAAATGGTGTATAATAATAATAAAATAATGTTTCGCATATATGTTACTTCTTAGATATCGAAATATAGAATTAACCTGTGATAGTGCAAAACTATGTAAACGGGTCACCTTCAGGGATATCAGTACCCTTAATTCAAGATTAAACAACGTAAACTAGTCAGAAATTAATTAAACATTATTAGTATACAATATGCATATAAAGACATAATTGACCAAATGTATACAATTCTTTCTTCTTTCGCCTCGCCTTAATCCCAAATACTTGGGGTCGGCCAAATGTATACAATAATAATACAAATACATTTTTTAATTAGTAGCAAAAAAAAAAAACGAATTTTTAAGTTTGTTTTTGAATATTGTTCAGTACAGCTAAAACTGAATCATAGCAGTCTGGGTAAGATATTAATTAAACCAATATTTTTAGATCAATTATAGGTTATGGAGTTTATTGCATGATATCCTGAATAAACGCGACAAAAAATCCTATGATATGTTGAACTTAATGCGATGTGACTAAAAAAGTCATTAAGACATTATATGTGTATATACGATCCCAGTGATTACGCAGTCGTTAATGACATAAGATGAGCTTGTATTATATTCTGATACTATGTGTCATCTAATAATTTATACGGAATATAATATCAACGTATTATTCAATACTAAAAGTGTCACTTTAAAATGATTAATTCGCGATAATCGTGACGACTTCTATATGAGTATGATGCTAAAGTATCATTATTAAAGTGTTGATGAGTAAAAATATTACATAGCTTCGTACGATGCCATACTTTGAAGTAACGTTACTTCAAAAACTATCTATTAAAAAATGTTAATGTCAATTTTTGTGTCCATCATAATCATTTAACAATTTTTAACCAAATTATTTTGTTCAATTACCTAGTTACTCATTTGTAATATGAGTATGTATAGAGCATACTAATAATATATGCTATGCATTTTTTTCCTGCTGTACCATACAAATATGACAAATACAAAAAACCCCGACACAGTGGGGACGTGACATAGTTAGGTCAAGTATAATGATATCTGACAGTGATTAAAATCACTATCATAAAAAACGCTTCGACGCAAATCTATAGATAGTGTTTAATTTTGAAAAATTGGTGGTTTTTTCAAAAGCTACACGTAATCTTATTACCTTACTTATATCCCGATTATACGTTTTATGATTATAAGTGTAATATATGAATAAATATATAAAGGGAAATGGTTTTTTTTTTTTAAAGTATATAAATTAAAGAGGTATAAATAGTATTTATCATAAAAAAATTGTATTGATCCATATATTTTTCAAAAAGTTATAGTATTATAAAATTAAAAATATAAAAAAGAATTTTTTTACAAAAATCGTATTTTTTTTATTAAATTTGATGTTAGTTTTCAAACAAAATAAAGTCCGAAAATTTTTTTTCCGTAATAAATTATATTACATGATCTTTAATTTAAGGTATATATAAAAGTGTCAGTATTTCCGGAACACTTTTAAAAGTTAAGTTGAAAGTTAAGTTAAAAGTTGTCATTTTTATTCCCCCTCTGTGGGCAGGTGGTAAAGGGTCAAATTTATAAAAAAATATAACAAATAATAGGTAAGGATATTATGCATCTATTAAAAAAAATGTATATTGATTCATTCAATTTTGAAAAAGTTATGGCAGTTTTAAGTAAAAAAATTGAAAAAATTTCGAAAATTGGCGATTTTTAAATTTGTAATTTTTTTGGAGATTTCTCCTAATTACGGGGAACGAGGGGATTTTTTTCAATTTTTGAGGATAACGTCTTTGACTAGGTACGATTTGTGATCTTTTGACGTATCGTTGAAAGAAATCCTTTCGGTGAGAGCTGAGAAGCTGTTAACAGACACAAAAAAAAATAAATAAAATCCCTTAGGAAGAATATTTTATGTAGAGAGGGACTATATGGCTGAGTCGATAACGCAACAGTGCTTGATATGTACTGCCTCGGGTTCAAATCTCGGGCACGGGCGGACTTCATTTGCCGAGTGAGAGAACAGTTCATAATTGGAGTGGCCATCCCTCTCTCCGACGACTGATTTACCACCCGTCCAGGAGTATCAATAGTTAAAACCCTCCTCCTTTGAGGGAGGCCGCTATTGTTCTTAATGGGCTTAAAAAACGTTAAAAGAAAAAAAGGTTTGGCTTGAGTGCTATTTGTTATTTGTGATCAATAGACATTTCTCTGCTTCATTTCTCCTACCACTTAAGTATAAAAATGTCATTTTTTAAATTAGATCATTATCTATTAAGTAAACTAGTAAGTTATGTAAATTTCCATTTGAAAATTAAAGTTAATGCCCTTATAAAATATAAGGAGTGAAAATAAAAAATAAAAATAAATTTAATTCATAAATTAAAAAAATTGTGCAATTAAATGAAAAGAAAAATATTATTATTATTTTTATTTTTCGATTAAAAAGATGGTTCATTAAATCTGATGATATATTCTAATTGTATGCAAAAATTGGATTCGAAATTTACATTATTCGTACTCATTTATGACTAATAACAGCTATAATTTCAGTCATATTATTTAAAAACGAACTACAATCGATAATATTGAATTTTTTAACTATACTGTACTAGTGTATGTTTTTACAGGTATATTGCGGTGACCCAACCAATAAAATACGCTAAACATAAAAACAACAGGAGAGTGTGGCTGACAATCGTGTTGGTATGGGCTATCAGTGCGGCAATTGGCAGCCCCATTGTGCTCGGTCTGAACAACACTCCGAATCGAACACCGGACCTCTGTCTTTTTTACAATTCGAATTTCATCATATACTCTTCCCTATCTTCATTTTACATACCATGCATTATCATGGTATTTCTTTATTGGAATATATTCAAGGTGAGATTTATTTATAGACAAACATTTATGTTATACAAATTTATAAATTTATAAAAAGAAAAAATCCATTAAAGAAAATGTTTAAATATTTAATATTTTAGAAAGTTTATTAATATCCATAAAAAAATATTAATGAGCTATTTTAAACATGTTTATAAATATTAAAAAAAAAATTTCTAATTTTTTTTGTAAATTCTACAACAAATATTTCTTTTTAGGATATGATTTTTTTCTAAACTAGATGGATTTATATGTTAAATTAATTGTATGTTGATTTAGAAAGTTAATAAAAACATAATAATTAGCTATCATAAATATTTAAAGCGTTAATAGTTATATACACTAAACTATCTTTCTGAATATATTTTCAAGTACATTATTTTTTTTTGCAATTTAGAGACAAGTCTTTTTAATTTCCCACATAATTGGGCCTACGTTTATAATACAAACGTTTTTAGGCAATAAAGTAGATTTTATATGTAATCTAAGTTTAAATTTAATCTAATTTTAAATTTTCTAACATTATTAAAAATGTTATCTTCAATTTAATACAAAGCAGTAATGGAAATAATATCATTAAACTTGTTGTCTATAAAAACACAATTAAATGATTGCAATGCACATAAATATTATATCTCGTCAGATAATTAAAAAGTGAGTTTTTACTGTTTCACTTTCTATGGTAATTTTATAGCGTTATAGAATTTATTATGAGTAATATTATAATTATTCAGTAAGCTAATGGGAAACGTTTAAGTTTAAAAACAACTTCACTTTTTCTTACATAGCAATACTATTCTATAAGGTTAAATTTTAGTTTTATTGAATTTTGAGTTTTTTCGTATGGAGAGGATATTATATTTTTTAAAGATAAATAAATCTTTGAATTTCCATTAGAGGAAAATCCTAATAAATTTTTTGAATAAAATAGTATACATTTTAGCGTATAGGTATACAATCAATAGAGATATGTACTCTATACTGACTTTAAGTGAGAATGTTTATGACCTATTTGATTGACAAATTTAAATCGAAAAGTTTGTTTTTTGCTTACTCGTACACTATTGCACAATAAAATTCAAATCATCGCTTAGATAAGGTATTTGTCTAAATTGTTCGTATACTAGTACTGAATATACGGCACTTATGCGTTATCTATACGAACACATAGACTAGAATTATAAAAAATATGATTTTTTAAAACTTAAAGTTTTTTTGTTATCCGTAAAAATATCAGACTAACTTTAAAATGTATTGACAGACTTTTATAAAGTACGTTTTTAACTACTTTAAACTTTACTTAAGTTCATTTTGATAAGATAAAGAGTAGTGCCAGGCAAAACAAGTCCAAAACTGAAAGTCAAGCGTTGGTCTTATTCTTAGTTTTAACTCTTGATCTTGGTCTTAATTATCACGCCTTGGTAGTTAGTCTTGTTCTAATATTGGTCATAGTCTTGCTATTTTTTTTGAAAGCTATTGTAAAGTTTTTTTACTTAAAAAGTTTAAAATGATACTCTTAAATGTGTCGTTTAAACCTAAATTAGACTAACACTAGCAATTGGTAAGTTAGTCCAATTTTAGTTATTGTATATAGAAAAGTTCAAGAGAAATAATCGCGCCTTATAATTCATAAAAATGATTGTTGAACCTAAACATATAATATTTTAGACAATTTTTCAACATTGATTTGCGTAGTATTCAATAATTAATTTAACAATTTTTTTAATGCAATCGTATGACAAATATATTAACAGCTGTCATTCATAGCCTAATTGCCTAATATATTAATCAATGAAACTTAGATTAAATATAAACAAAATGTATACAAAGCACTTAATGCCCTCACCTATAATAACTCGTCATTAATAATATTTATATTCAAATTAAAGTCAGAGTTTGAACTTTTTTTGAATCATTTTTGCATTTGATAGATATTTACTATTAATATAATATTGTTGTTTAGAAACATATTATTCATTATTTTCAAATGTTTTGCTAACAAATAAGAAATTTAGAGTACCAAACAGTAAGTAAAGAAATTATACATAACAAAGTAATCAGAGTTACTCGAAAATTCCTTAGAAATAAATATGTTTTTATTGTAACTATAGTTGCAGTTTTTAAGCTCAAACTTAATAAATTAAATAAAAATTTATGTTTTTTAGCCTATATTTATACACCATAGTCGTTTTTAATTAAAATATTTAAAATATTTTTTTTATTTTTTCGCAACTTAGTTTAAAATGTATTTGAACGCTGAATAAAATATTTTGCATAGATTACTGTGTCATAAATTCTCTACCTGTGATGTACCGTTTCATATCTAACTTAATTAAAAATATTCTTTTAAAAAATTAAAGTACTTCGCTTGTTAGATATTATTTAGAATATTTTATGCTAAAAAAAAATAACCGGGAATTAAGATAAAGTGAACTCTTCCATCAATTTGACGTTTGTTTCATATCTTGGGGTTGTATTTTTAAAGTCACAGTTACATAGGTAATTATAATAAAATATTCAATGCCAATAACTATATATGATGTTTTATGTTACGAAAAAAAAAATGATATGGAAAAATAGCTATTTTTTGTTTAAAGTGTCATTACTCTCGACCCAAATCAAACCCTTTAATTTTATTCAATTCAATAGACTATTGTAATTCATGCTTCTATGACATAAGGGCACTCAAGGCTTTTATTAAAAAATACTCACACATCTATCTGAATGTCATCATATAATACTCACTTGAGTATTAGAAATCTTTGAAAATTTGAGAAACTCTAGACATAAATTGAAAAACATATACAACCGGATAAACATTTTCTTATAAAATGTAAAATATTTTTTAATTTTTGTTGAAATCAAATGGAAATTGAAGATCTTAGTACAAAAATCAGTGCATTTTTAAAAGATTTTTAGTAGAAGCAATATTATAAAAAATGTTTTTTCTAGATTATATGTCTCTAGAAATAATAGTAATTTATAAATCGGATTTTTACTAAATTACTCATAAATATCATTTTTCTTCAAAATTAATAAAAAATAATTTCTTAAAAAAATGGAACTGGTTATTATACTATGCTCTTTAATTACTCAATTATTTTGTATAAAATTAAACCATATCATTTTAACTAAATCTGAACATTTGTAATTCATTTAAAACAAGATTATGTTTTATGTTCCTAAAATTTTCTTTTAAGTTTATTTAAAACAATTCTTACATTGGAAAAAACTAAAAATATATAACATTGACAAATCAACATCTTTATGTAGTGGAGTTACATAGTGGTTACTATAATGTCAAATAAGTGTACACAAAGGTGTTCGTCGATTTATGTGTCTCTTTTATACCTAATTTAATGAAAGATGAAAAGTGGTTCTAGAATAAAACTCCTTTTTAAGTTAATAAAATCAGTGTTCGAAAATTGTTTCCAAACTTTTGTTTTATCGTAGTAAACCTTTGAACTTAAAATGAATATTTTAGATGGTGAAATACCGAAAGTTAATGTTAATCAGGAACAGCAAAAATTAAACATTTTAAGGTCAACACACCAAAAAACTTAGAAGTTTCATCTCACTGTAAATAAATATAATTTTAAGTATCTCATATTTGCTGTCGTAATAAGTGACTAATAGTATTATTTGTTGTCATTATTAAAACTTGAGTAATGCTAACTATATCAGCCAGGAGACAAAGGAGAAAAGTTAAGTTTTCAAATTCCTCTTAAGTCTTATAAATACTACAAAAGGCATGTCCCTGTTTTAATACCTATTGATATTGTGAAAAAACGTCTTGCTAAGTATTAATTCTTTTGAAAACTAGTCAAATGTAGTTATCTCTATTTTAATAAATTACCAACAATAATAATGCTGTAAAAAAATTAATTTAACAATATGATCAATAAGACTATAGTATTGCATGCACAACTTGTTTTTGAAATTAAAATAATTCTTACGCACGTCAAAAATGTTTTTAAAAACTTATATAATATGTTTTTCCTATTTGTAATATTGAAAAAACCAGTATTTCATATTCATAATTACAGGAATGCGTTCATATGTTTATGGCTTCACAATTTGCTTATGTATCTTAATCAAGATTGAGAAAATTAATAAGCAACCAAAATACAAGTGACCTTGTTGCGATTACTTGTTGCTATGGGCTATGTTGCTATGATACTTATACGTAATACAGTTCTATTTATTTTTAACAGTTAAATATTTATACGAGCCTAAAATATTAGTTCGTTAATTCAAATTATATTTTACATAAAAAGTATGTATTATTTATTATATTTGTTAAATTAAACTTGATAAATTCTAAGTATTTCAGTATTATTCTTACTTATTTCCAGTTTGGTTAAAAAATTTATAAACTAATTATATGTAAAAATACCATACAAAATCTATACAAGTGTTTTAAATTTTATTATTGAAAATTTTTGTGAAATATAATTACCACTTAACTGGTATCATACTTGAATCAATCATACAACTTAAATGCAAAACAAATTTTACTTTGTGTCACATGCAGTTACTAACAACAAATATTAATCACTGAAATAGTGTAGCTGTATCATAAAATTTTAGAACATTATTTTAAAATATAACTTAAAACTATTGTGAGAATCTAATAAAAATTAATAAATTATACCTCAGGAATATTATTATTTAGATTCAATTATTTCAAGAGTTTCTTTAAAAAATTTTATTTACATGTTTTTTACGTTTATAAATTTGTTCAAATTTATAAACGTTATTTCTACATTTTATATGGGTATAACTGTAAAAATTTTGAAATGACTGTAAAATTAATAAATTATAATATAATATACTCAGATACTTTAAATTATGATCTATATTTGGTGACCATATAGTTTAAACAATTGCGTGAAGCCTTTATCTGAATTTTATGACAAAATAATAAAAAATAATAATTGATTTTTTGGCTAAATTTACTAATAATATTGAATAAATATTATTTGTTTGATAGTATTTAA